GTGAAGTGAACGGGCATCGGCAGTTGATTGTCTGAAGAAGAAGCCTTACAGGAAAAACCCTCCCCAACACAAACCGGGCACATATGGCTGAAATGGAGGAATTGTCCACACCGGTGTGGACGACATGCATCGTGTTAGCCGTCGTGTCAGAAGTGAACCATTGGTGGGGTCAAAACCTGAGGGAGTGGTGGGTGGACACTGGGGCCACTCGCCATATTTGGCAGAGAAGAGAATGTTCACAACTTTCGAACTGATTTTCATACGGGGAGAAGTTGTTTATGGGAAACTCTGCAACCTCAGCTGTTGAGGGTAAAGGTAAGGTGATCCTGAAGTTACTTCAGGAAAGAACTGACTTTGAACGATGTCTTATTTGTGTCGGACATTCATAGAACCTTGTCTCGGATCTTTCCTAAGCAAGCATGGCTTTCCACATGGTGTTTGAATCAGACAAGGGTCGTGTTGACCAAGCGCGGGGTCTATGTGGAGAAGGGATATATGTCAGGGTGGTATGTTTTAAATTGAATGTAATGACACTTCCCACAAATTAATGAGAAAGCTTTTCTTTTGCTTATATGCTGAGTCCCCTAATTTATGGATAGTAGATTGGGCATGTAAAATTTGACTCTTTACGTAGATAATCAAGTTAGATCACATACCATCTTTCAAGATTAATCCACAACACAGTGTGAAACTTGTGTAGAAAGCAAAATTGACAAGGTCTTCTTCATTCTATTGAAAGAAGTACCCAGCCTTTAGGTTTAGTGCATAGTGATGTGTGTGACTTGAAAGTTGTACAATCACGTGTGGCAACAAGTACTTCATCACTTTTGTTGATGATTGCACTAAATACCTGTTATGTGTATTTGCTTAAAAGCAAAGACAAGGCTATTGATAAATTTATTCTTTTTAAGAATGAAGTTGAGAATCAAATAAGCGGAAATCAAGGCCATTGAGAAATGATCATGTGGTAAGATATGAATCCCCGTTTGCCGAGACTTGTGCTCAATTTGGGATTATTCACCAACCACAGCGCCTTATTCGCCTCAAGTCAAATGGGTGCTGAGCGGAAGAAACAGGACGCTGAAAGAGATTATGAAGTGCAATGTTGATAAGTTCTGGGTTACCACAGAACTTATGGGGGGAAGCAATTCTCTCCGCGAATTATATTCTTAATAGAATACCACGGAAAAGAAAGTGGACAAGACTCCATATGAGTTGTGGAAAGGTCACAAGCCTTCATATAAATCTTACGAATGTGGGGGTTCTCTGCAAAAGTGGCGGTACTACACCCAAGCGGGTTAGGATAGGTCCAAACTTGTTGGGAAAAACTACTCACATTACATAATTTCACATTACAAATCGCAAAATTATGAGATAAACAAAACAAATCTCATCCCAGGAAAAATAACATGCTGAATAAATACAGATAAAATATAAAATGGTTAAAGGAAGAAAACCGAAACTTGTGTGATACACAGTCCCCTTAAAATAAATTCGTGCCTCACCGTTGGGTGCTGGAGGTACGCCGGGTCTACTTTCCAGGATACGACGGTTTTTACCAGCTACAACAGAAGCACCTTCTGATTAGCTTAGCGAACG